GAGGATCTCTGTGAGTTTGAGGCCAGTCTGGTCTACAGAGCGAGATCCAGGAAAGGCACAAAGCTACACAGAGAAACCGTGTCTCAAAAAAGAAAAACAAACAAACAAAATGACAGACTTAACAGCTGCATGGACAATCACACTAGGTTCCTCTGTGGTCGCTGGGGACAGAGGTCCAAGGACAATGTCAGTCTTTGACCGCCACGCCCAGAATTTCCAACAGACTTTACTGTGGAGGAGGAGGAGTGTGGGGAACTGGTCAACCTTGTTTAGGCAAAGCAGGGCAATCAATTGCTTCTCCACAGTTTGGACAGGGTCCTGCAGGGGAAGAGGTGAGGAACAGTTTTTCACCCAGTGGCTAGCTTTGCCACATCCAGAGCAAGCTCCAGACAGTGCTCTTTTATGCCCCGTCATCTTTGGAGGAGACCTCAGGGGTGTTTCCAAGAGCTGGCACCTCTCTCTATCGAAGGACGCTTTTTTATTAAACATTAAATGCCATATTCAGCTGATCTCTGAAGAGTCTGAGGACCATCTGTCAACTATATCTAAACTAAACAAGTTTTGCTTGTTTCTAGTTACTTGTTTTAGGCTTAACTTTGAATACATATACAGGAGGCTAAATAAGGCTTGTTCCTGTAATTATTACATTAGTACTCAGCATAACTACAAGTATACTTCTCAACACATTAAGGAATTTAATCATTTATAAGGTGACTATTAACTTGCATGTCTTAATCACCTTTAACAGTTTATAATAAGTTAGTAGCTTTTTATAAGATTAGGATTTTACAGCTTTATCTCTGTTAGGTTTAACCTTAAAAACTCAAACATCTTATTTATCAAATATACCTTATTTATCAAACATATGCTGTTTCTAGAAGCTTGCTGTTGAACACTTAGCAAAGATGTAAGTACTTAGGTGTAAATCTCTAAGTTAGCTTCTGTTAATCTGAGTAGACCTTTACAACCCTAAGATTCTATGACTATATGAGTATATTATAAACCAGAGTTGAATCACATATATAGCATGTTGTACCAAATATAACCTTAAATCACCATGCAAAAATTCATACATATCCAAAATATTTTGGAGACTTGTTGCTTTCTTAGTCTAAAAAGAAATACAATGATACACTAAGGGCTCAGTAGGACTGAAGTTTTATAATTGTTGCTTTATGCCATGTGGTCATCTTTCTTTCTTTTTTTTTTTTTTTTTTTGTATTGTTTTGTTTAGGTTTTTTTTTTCTTTGTTTGTTTTTGTTTTTTCAAGACAGGGTTTCTCTGTATAGTCTTGGCTGTTCTGGAACTCCCCCTGTAGACCAGGCTGGCCTCAAACTCACAGAGACCCAGAAATATGGGTTTTCACCATGGAAACAAAGCTCTGGGCATATCTGTGAGAGTTTAACTGGTTTGAGAATACTCACCCTAAATGGGTCAATTCTTCAGACGAGGTCTTGGACTGAATAAAAAAAAGGGACCAGGGGCTGGAGAGATGGCTCAGTGGTTAAGAGCACCGACGCTTCTCCCAAAGGACCTGGGTTCAATTCCCAATACCCACATGGTGTCTCCCAACCATCTGTAATTCCAGCCCCAGAGGACTGCCCTCCTCTGTGGGCACATGGTACACAGTCATACAGGCAGGCAAAATATCCATACACATAAAAAATAAAAAGGTGTGGTGACCAAGCTAAGAACCAGCATTCGCGCGTTTTCTGACTGTGGATACAATGTGACCAGTGTTAAGTTTCTAAACCCAGGACAACCGGCAGGGGTGCCTATTTAACATCTTGGATCTGACCTCCGGATTCTCCCAGCATCCCTCCGTCCCTTCCTGTTACAGGGTATGGCTGGCACACCTGTCTTCTGCTCGATCTACTAGGAAAACAGATGTTTTAAATAGCAACCCTGTGGCTCTTCTCCATCTTTGCTGATGACTTTCAAGATGTAAGCAGCCACATGACTTGGAGCCAGTTTTACTAAGGTTAAAGGGTACATGCCATGTGACTTCACCATCTTAAGATGACCACATAGGCCGGAAGGTGGTGGTGCACGCCTTTAATCCTAGCACTGGCGAGGCAGAGGCAGGAGGATCTCCGAGTTCAAAGCCAGGGAGAGTTCCAAAACAGCCAGGGCTATACAGAGGGCCCTGTCTCAAAAGAAGAAAAAAACAATAATAATAATAATAATAATAATAATAATAATAAAAACCAACCAAACAAACAAAATACTTGTGGGAACATATTTAATTTCAGTTCATGTCATACCCAACCACTAAAAACTAGTTTTAAATAGGTCACAGAACCTTAGTCAAAGTGCAAACCAAGCCGGGTGGTGGTGGCACACACCTTTAATCCCAGCACTCGGGAGGTGGAGCCAAGCGGATCTCTGCGAGTTCGAGGCCAGCCTGGGCTACAGAGTGAGATCCAGGACAGGTGCAACACAGAGAAACCCTGTCTCGGAAAACCAAAAAAAAAAAAAGTGCAAACCAAGCTAACCAGAGCTACTTTGATGTAGTTTCAAAACGTTTAGTCAGTTGCCATCAGGGCACGTGCTGCTTTTCACCTTGTCTCCCTCGTCTTCCATGTTTCTTAATGTTCACAGAGTCAGATTCAGGGTTTTTGTGTGCGTGAGTGTGAGTGCGGAGGAGACCTCGACTGTAACCTTCAGGGTCCTTAAGAATTCTCAAGCCGGGCGGTGGCGCACGCCTTTAATCCCAGCACTCGGGAGGCAGAGGCAGGCGGATCTCTGTGAGTTCGAGGCCAGCCTGGGCTACCAAGTGAGTTCCAGGAAA